GGGCTGGTCGTTCGTGGGTTCGTGGGTTCGTGGGTTCGTGCGTGGGTGCGTGCGTGCGCAGCGAAAGCTGCGTGGCGTGTAGATAGATAAGATGACGCTGCTGTGGAGCCACAGTGTCTGTCTTGTGTCTGTCTGTCGGTCGTGTCGGTCGGTCGCGTCGGAAAGAGAGAGAAAGAGAGTCGGTGTTGCGTCTTGTAGTCGACATGTGGGTGTGCGCATGTGTGTGTGTGTGTGTGTGTGTGTGTTGCGTACGCGTGGCTCCCGGGGGGTGCCGGGCAGCTCAGCTCAGTCGATGGATGTGTGGATGGACGGAGGGATGGGAATTCGACCAATGAATGGGCGGCTGCTTGTAAGGCTGTCTGTCTGACTCCTCTCGCTCTCCTCGGCCGGCCGGCCGGCCGGTCTCAATCATCCATATGGGGTGCGAATCGTGTCTGGTTGCCATCTTTCGTGCAAATGGATGGATGGATGCATGGATGGATGCATTGCATGGCTCGAGGTACTCATGCATATTTGTGTGTACTGAGCGCAGCGCACGAGGTGGGTGGTTTTTGGTGTCGTGTGTGAGTATACGGAACTGCGAGGGTGTTTTTAATGGATGGTGTGTATCCTCAATGACATCAGTCAAAGGACTCTTCCATAAATTGAGTCTTGACATCACGCAGTAGAGCGTCACAGCACCGGCAACACCACCGCATGCCCACAAACGAGCAGCACGAGAGCGGGGCGCCGTACGAAGCGCCCAGCCTCACTCACGTGCGTCTCGTTCAGGAGCGTGCAGAAACGGTCTTGCCACATCGCTAAATGGCAGTCAAGCACACGGATAAACCACAGATATCTGACTGTGTGTCCATGTTAGTGTGAATTTCCTCGCTGTCAATTTCGCTGCTGCGCCACACGGGTCCCCAGCTGGACAACCTGACGATACAGCCAATGGCAGTCTTGTTGCCATTGACTCTCTCGTCAGGCTGCCATCCGACAACTCGGTGCAGACACAGCAGCGAGCATCAGACAGTCGCGTACACACGGTCAGCATGACAGAGAAGATGCCCGCATCATTCCAGCAAAAAAACACACCGTCGTACCCCCCTGACATACAAAAGGCAGTGAACAACCATCAAGACAAGACGGTCAAGGCACAGATCACAGACATCGCCGCTCGCGCCCATCCTCTTCCTCCTCTGCCACCCCATCCGGCCACCAAGTGACTCCTCAGCGAGTCACTCCTCAGCGAGTCACTCGGCGTCTGAGGAGGTGGAAGACAGAGGAAAAGAATAAAGCAACAAACAGCGTAAGACAACCAAACGTGCGAGGAAAGGACAGACTTGAAGGCTCAGAACAGCACGTAGATGTTCGAGTAAGGTGGCGGGTAAGGTGGCGACGTGGGCAGAGACTCAAGGACCATCTGCGGGCACTTGGAGTGAGCGCAGGGCAATTCAGCTTCCTCTTTCATGCGCCCCCGCCGCAGCCACTTCACGAGAACGAGAACCTGACGTCCACACACACCACACACAGCCATGCCCACTCTCCCGTGTACGGCCAGGTGTGCACGCCCATTCACGTACCTTTCGAAATGCATGAGATCTCCCCCGCACGGCTGGTGAGGATGAGTCCCATCGGCTTCAGGCTTCAGTTTCAAGACATGCTAGGGCAGCCAATCACTTTGGCGTCCTTAGGATCGACATGCAAAAGGATCGGAGATGGGTTTGACGCCCGTAGGATAACTGACCCTAGCTAAGCTCGCACTCCTGAAGCCAAGTGAATTGCAGCCCCCTCTGTGCGTGGAAGCGTCGCGTTCCTGACGAGCCCTCTGTTAGCGTGTTACTTGACCGTTGATTGATCCACCATGTCTGGTCGTGGCAAGGGCGGCAAGGGTTTGGGCAAGGGGGGTGCCAAGCGCCATCGCAAGATTCTGCGCGACAACATCCAGGGCATCACCAAGCCGGCCATCCGCCGTCTGGCTCGCCGTGGCGGTGTCAAGCGCATCAGCGGCCTCATCTACGAGGAGACCCGCGCCGTGCTCAAGGTCTTCATGGAAAACGTCATCCGTGACGCCGTCACATACACGGTACGCACACACACGCACAAGGGCTGGGCTGGGCAGGGAGCGGCGGGAGGGATGCAATGGTGTAGGAAGGAAGGAGGCTCGTGTGTGATGATCCGTGCTGTTGTGTCTCGGTGAGGCGTGTGCGCTCACTGCTGTGTTTGGCTGCGGTGTGGTGTGTTGTGTTGTGTCGTGTGTGTGTGTGTGTGTGTGTGTGTGTTCAGGAGCACGCCCGCCGCAAGACCGTGACAGCGTTTGACGTCATCTACGCCCTGAAGCGCAACGGCCGCACCATCTATGGCTTCGGCGGCTGAGCATCCTCCCACCCACCACCACCCTGCCCTACTACTACACCCCACACCACACCACAACCACCCACACGTACATACCCATCGGAGAGCTGACGAGACGAGACGACGACACGACAAGACCCCCTGATGACGACTGTGGCCTCACTCATGATGACAGAGAGGGGGGGAACACTGACTGGATGGACTGAGAGAGGGGATGGAGGCATCATGTCATGTGACTGACTGACTGCCGACTGACTGACTGATTGCCACGCGTGCGCTGCTGAATACGACTGACTGTCTCGGGCGGGGTAGCTGACCGAGACCTACCTACAGACCACAGACTGACCGACCTTTCTGGTGCCACTGGGCGCCACCATGTGACTTACTGGTGGATGGATGATGAACACGACACGACACAAGGGAGGGCAGACAGATGAGCGAGTGGATGGATGAGGGGTCGATGGTGGGTTGAGTGGTCTGGCACGGTGTCCGTTCCTTTTGCCTTTTTGGTGTGGTGACAGGTCGGACTGTGTGGTTCTGTCTGTGTGCCATGACGCTTCGCCTTTGCTTTTGGATGCGAAGTTTTTCCATCTGTCTGTCTGCCGTGCTGATACGTCCATCTCCGTTCCGTCGTTGGCCACTTGCCTTGTGGGATTGGATGCGTGGGTGCATGGGTCCGATGCGAATGGGCCCTTGCCCTCGCGTCAATGCTGACGGGGCAAGTGAGAACGACGCATATGGACAGATGGCAGGAACCCTCTGTGTGATGCCTTGCTGCCTTGCTGCCGGCCCCCCTCTCTCTCTCCCCTAGTGTATTTAGAAGTGACGATGGCCTCCGAGTGAGTGAGTGATGGTCTGTACGATAGCCTGGTGGATGTGTCTTACGTGTGTGGCGAACTGGTCGTGGTGTGCGTGACGGACAAGAGTGTACGCGTGGATGGATGGCATGAATGAATGCACCATCGGATTGGGTCATTGGCCGACGAAATATCGGAGATGGAACATTCACGAGTATGCACACAGGTTGCAACAGCAGTAGTCAATCGAGTCCGTTCGCCTCGCCATGCACACACATACAGGTAGGTACATATGTACACACGCCACCACATACGGAAAGGAACCTCATACACACACCCACATCCGTCCAAGCATGTATGTTGTCACCGCCCGAGTGACGCCCGTGGCAGGGAATATGTCGACGAGAAAGATGACGGGTAGGGCGACACCAGCGGCACACCGCCGTCACGGTAGCCATACTGACACACACAGAGAGGGAAAAACATAGACCCACAACTGGCCACTTCCCCTCTCGATGCGATGTGTGGTGACGTACATCAGCCATTTTGTTCGCGAGTTTGAGTGTCTCCATCTCTTCCTCTTGGCTGGGCAGGCCCCTCTCACAGCACCCACTGCACCCTCCCCACCACATCACTGCCACACACCGCACCACGCACACAACAGATGAGCGGACCAATACACGGATGGATGGGTGCGTCCACACTGGGCTCTGGGTGGGAGGTGTGCTGTGTTGCCTACCCAGTAGGTAGATCCCCCATCCAAGCAGGCCGACGATCACGGCACCAACTGCTACAGCTATCGACCACATCCACCAGCCTAAACGCATCAATGAACACAGAGAGTGCGGCCACACCACAGCCGCAGAGGGGTCCACAGACCGTTCGCGTGTCTGTGTGTGTGTGTGGGATGGGGACGGACCTCCGAATCGGTAACATTTCCCTCTGAGGAGGAATCGTCCTTCCCACATGGTGCCAGACGGGATGCACGCCAGGCACACCTGGCTGTTCTCACACACACCGCACAACTCACCACAGTCTGCACACACACACACACATGTGCCAATCGGTGCGGCCACTCTGTGTCTGTGTGTGTGTGTGTGTTTGGTGTGCCTTATCCCTTCCTTACGTGAGCACCTGCTAGCAACCGAGTCGCCATAGAAACCTGCAGCACAACACAACGCACCACGGCACACCGTCTGAGGGAGAGGTGAAGGCTGCTCGTCTCTAAGCATTCAAGACACCTCGGCTGCATTTGCTGGTGCATGCGCCCGCATCCGCCGAATAGAAAGGATGCTCCTCTGGGCAGCCTGACAGACAGAGGGAGGGGAAGGAAAGGAAAGAGGCACATGCAGGTCCTCCTCGGTCTCTCCCTCTTTGCGCCCCCCACCGCCCCGCCGACCGACCATCTCTGACGATGTTGATGGTGTATTTGCCGGCCGATCCCGTCTGCAGGGCGGGCGTCACCTCAATGATGATCTGCCGACTCTTGCCAGGGTCCAAGTGAAACAGCCGCGACTCACCTTCACACACACAAAAGTGAACACACGCTGCACCCACCGCTCCACGCCATCCCTGCTGCCCACTCACCTTTTCTCTGAACCTCGCCGGCCATCCTCCCGCCCAGGAACCGCCTGCCACCCACAGCGGCACCGGCATCGCTCTGGTTGCCCTTGTCCTGCCCGAGTGCGGCGGAGTCATAGACAGCACACGACTGGCCGCCGTCAGCGCCCTCAAAGGTCAGCACCACATCGTCAGTGTTGAGGGGCAGGTAGGCCAGGTAGGAAACCCGGTGTGGGTTAAACGGGGGGCACATGGGTGCGTGTGCCGAGCACCCAGTGGGGCACCGGCTGCTGTCGGCCCCTGGGCACCCCGACGAGTAAGCCACTTGAAGAGAGGCCAACGTGACGTCTTCCCCAGCTGCAGTGCAGCAAGAGGAGGGAAAAAGAAAAAAGGACAGGACTGTGAGCACCGCATCGCATCGTGGCGGCACGGCAGCTTACATAGTCTTTGGAGGCTGATGGTGTATGTGGTCTTCTTGCCACCATTCACGACGGACACCGTGACCTTCCGATGCTCACCTGGCGATATCTGAATAAACGTCAGTCACAATCACAGACCGACACCCACATCTATCCATCCATCCATCGATTGGCCAATCCATGTGTCCCTCCGCCTCCCTCACCGTGACCTCCGTGCCGACTGGTCCCTCCACAGTGGATGTGTTGCTCGTCGGCACTGCATCCACGGCGTATCTCGTCATGTCAAAGTCCATCGTCGCCGCATAATGCACCACAGAAGGACGAAATGCCGGCCTGCATCATGAATGAATGATGCATCAGCAGCAAGGAAGCGAAAACACATAGTCAGGTCAGCCTTGTTCCTCTTTCTTTGCGCACCCTCCCACCCACCTGAGGTCCACCCTTCTGTCGTCGCATCGGATGTCCAGGAACCGCAGCGATGCATCTGGCATGGAGGCGGTGAACACGAGCGCTACAGAGAAGAAGAGAGAACCGACAAAGAGGCGTGAAGCGACAAAGAGGCGTGACATTGGTATTGCCAATGCATATCGCGTTACACGGCTCCCGTCCCCCAAGGGCGATCGAACAACTCGTTCGTTCGTTCGTTAACCTCACGGGGACCTTGCCCCCCGGCCCCCCGAAGGGGTACGCAAGAACGAGTCTGTGTGATGCAGGCCTGTCCAACCACCCACCCACCCACCCCTATGGTCCACCACAAAATGAAACCTGCACAGGGATGGGCACAAAATGGCACTGGCACCGGCCGACATGCAGATGACAACAGAGGGCACAGGTGACGAACAACTCATCCTCCAGGTCGTTTTGACCGTTCTTCTGCCTAGAGTGATGCTTGACTTGCTGATTGACGTGATTGACGGCCTTCTGTTTTGGTTTTTGATGTCACAACACGTGTCCGACGTCACGCCCGTTTGTCCATTGTCCATCGCAGGTGCGGGGCTCTGACGCACTTCCGTTGCATCCTCCAACCCGACCGCAGGCAGCCGAAACATTACGTGTGCCTCGACTGCTGACCGACGGGGGCGAGGAGAAACGACAGTGCCTGCAAGCCCGCACTATTTCACACACCGACAAATAAACAAACACCGGAGGACCCAGGTGGTACGTGCATCCCATAATATCATCCTGTCCCCGCCCAATCGCTTGCACAGGTGCGGGGATCGTGGCTGCATGTCTGTTGGCTCGTCAACCCCATCGGCAGGCAGCCGAAGCATTCTGTGGGCCTCGACTGCTTGCAGAGGGAGAAGATCAGGCACAGTCACGTAGCAACGATATCCCGGTCCCTTTTCACCGAGTACCTAAAATTGTGTGTGTGGATCTCCCGGCTCATTCACCCGTTTAAACAAAACCCACCCGAGAGAGACTTTGCATCAAAAAGAATGGGGGGATCAAAAAGAAAAGGAATAGGTCGTTCGTGGATGTCATCTCAGGTATCTCATCTTGTTGTCGCCGGCAAATCGCTGTCAGCCACGCAGGCAGGCAGGCAGGCAGGGAGGGAGGGAGGTGGGGGAGAAAAATCACAGGGGCAGTCAGTCAGTCAGTCAGTCGTGCAGGCACGAATGCATGCAGGCAGGTGATAAATAGGCATACACACGTGCGTGTACATTGTGACATCCATCAGGCAGCGACCCAGCACTCGCTGGCCCCGCCCGGCCATGAAAAAAAGTGAAGACTAAACCAGCCATCCATCCATCCATCGATGGCTGGCACGTGACTTGGCTGAGTCTTCGATAAAGAGACTGAATAAAACGTGCATTCCATTCCGGCCGTCCACTCACCTCCCCTCCCTCCCTCTCTCCCTCCCTCCCCCACACCACACAGGCAGGCCACGTTATACACAGCAGCAGGCAGCGTGGAGCATTTATTGGTCGCACACGCAAAAAGCGTCGGAGTGCTCCGACGGTCGGGCGATAGACAGACAGACAGACAGATCGATCAATCACACGATAAACCCCCCAGCACACGCCACACTTCCTCACAATACAATCTCTCGCACAATAAACCAACCAACCAACCAAACAACCACCTACTTACCGATACGAAGACCCGTCTACCTCTACCTACGCTACGCCCTAGCTACGTACACACAATGGTACACACATTCCATGCACACATTACACTTTGCTCATGAAGTCGGCCGTCGTCAGGCCGCCGCCGCCGGCCACGCTGACGGTCTCCGAGTAGGGTGTGGGAGGGGCGCCGCTGTCGACTGTGGTGGCGGCGATGCGGTCGGTGAGCAACTGCTGGCTCACCTTGCCGTCGGCGGCCTTGTCGATGCCGTTCTCAGTCATCAGCTCATCCTCCTTGAGGGCGACCTCCTCAACGGGGTGGAAACACGAGTACACCTGACATGCGCACGCCACACATTGACATGCACGTGCACGTGTTGTGTTGGGTCTATGGATTGCTGGCTGGCGTACGTACGTCGGGCATGACGATGCCGGTGAAGGTGAGCATGATGCAGATGAAGGCGAGGGCCAGGCCGACCGCCTGCAGATACGCGGGGTAGCCCGCGTATCGGCCGAAGGGTTGTGTGCTGCTCCAGAAGACCAAACCCATGAGGATCAAGGTCGCTGGCGGGATGAAGAACTTGAGCAGCAGCGACCACACTATCGTGATGGGCCAGTTATTGCCCTATGTCATTGCAGAGGCACAATGAAAGGAGACCGTTGACACATGGGTGAATGCATCTGCGAGGGAGGTTGCTGGGTACCTTACCTGTGCGCACACGGTGTTGAGGTCCATCCTGAGTGTTTCGATCGTGCCCAGGTACAGCCACCATGCGCGCTTCTGAATGACAGGCACACGGACGGGCAGAGACCGCAGCAATCCCATACGTAGATGAGTGCATGAAGGGGGTCTCGGTCTCCGACGTGTGTACCTCCAGGCTCATGTCTTTCGCCTTTGTCAGGCCGAGTGCCGTAGCAGAACCGAGAACCATGATCACCGCGCCAACCAGCGGCCCCGCAGTCGACCCTGCAAACCACACCGGCAACCGCACACACAAGTGCAGCCATCCGTCAGTGCACTTAAGATCTCTCTCCTCCGGTTGCTCACCGACGGCAGTGTCTTCAGCGCCCAGGCCGACCATCATGCCCACAAACGCCCCGCCGAGCCAGGCCGCCATGGCGCACACCTCCGCCACATAACCCACCTTCTCGCCCACCAGTTGGAAGTTGTATACCCAGCCCCCCGCCACGGCATGGATCAGACCTATAAAGAGAAAAGCGACGTTGTTGAGGTAGAAGTCCACAGCGTCCAAGAGGAATAGGCCGATGTCGGTGGCGTAGACGCAAGACACGGCGAGGCCGGCCAGACACATGGCCGTCACCACTCTCCACCGCTTGACGCGACGAAGGACGATGGAGTCCTGAAATGAACACACACACAGAGACACACGACGGGTGTGTGAAGGCGTATGGAGGGGCATCTGTGTAGGTCAGGTCACCATGAGGGCTGTGACGGAGGCCTCGATGAGAGAGAAGGCCGAGTCGATGCCCAGCAGCACCAGCGTCAGGAAAAACAACACACACCTGACAGACAGGCAGACAGACAGACAGGCAGACAGACAGGGGCGTGAAGGAAGGCACACGTTGATGTGTGCTGTCGATGCTCCTTGCTGACCAGACATGGCTGCCCGGTAGGAGGCTGAGTGCCACTGGATATGCCGTAAAGACGAGGCCAGGACCATCCACAGGAAGGTAACCCAGGTTCACTCCCGCCTGGTCAGCCAAGTGACCCAACACCGAAAACACCGCAAACCCTGAACAGACAGATATGCACGTACGCTAGGACGGCTGTCTGTCTGTCTGTCTGTCTGTCTGTGTGTGTGGTTTCTCTCTGCGCGGGCTGCCTACCAGCCACAAATGACGTTAAGAAGTCACAGAATGAGATGATGAGGCTGTCCTGGGCCACGTTGCACGACTTGCGGTTGTACGAAGCATCTGTCAGCAGAGAGAAAGTTGGTGGGGTGGAAGCGAAGCCGTGCATTGGGGAGTGCAATTGCAAGATGTCTTGTCGTGTTGCGCTGCTCACGTACACGCAGTCAGCACGCCGAAACACAGGGAGAGCGAGAAGAAGACCTGGGAGGTCGCTTCACTCCACACAATCGGCTCGTCCTTCAGCACCGACAGGTTCCACTTGCCTATATACGCCTCCACCCCCACACCGGCGCCGTCCAGCGTCAGGCCGCGTATCATCAAGATCACAATCAGGATGAAGGGCATCAGCATCGTGAAGTAGGTGACACGGCCGGTGACGAAGACCCCACGGAACAAAGATAGCCATATCAGAATCCAGACCACGATCATCCCGTAGAAGGTGTACAAGAGGAAGTCCTGCGCGCCGACAGCAGCCTCCCCAGCCATGACCACCGAGTTATCGAAGAAGTCTGTGGATGCGGTGAGCGCGGTGCTGTCAGTTGCCGCCACCCACGGCAGGGTGGGGTTGAAGGACGCCACGAAGTATCTCAGGGCCCAGCTGATGATGAGGTTGTAGTATGTGGCCAGCACGAAGGCACCGAAGCATCCGCTGGCGCCGATGCCCCTCAGCCGTCGATGGATGGAAGCCCACGCCACGAAGTCGCTCCCCTGATCGATCACCGACACACACACACAGACAGACAGACAGACAGACAGACAGACGGACAAGATGCAGCCAGTGACGTGACGTGCCACCTTACTATACGCTCACCCACCCACCCACTCACCTGGAAGACTTGTCCGAGTGCCAGCTCCAGCGTCATGAGTGGTATGCCAAGGAAGAACAGAGCCAACACGAAGGGAATAAAGAACGCACCTCCGCCCCATTTGAACGACAGGTAAGGGAACCTGCAGGCAGCCATACCACGAACACACACAATGACGCACGCCTCAACAAGTCTGGTTGTTGGGTTGTTGCGTGTTGTGTGTATTCATCGCTTGCTTGCCTCCAGAGGTTGCCGAGGCCGACAGCGGACCCAACAGCGGCGCAGATGAAGGCCGCTCGTGAGCTCCACCTCTCGCCTGTGTCAAGGGAAACACCGCAACCGCAGATCTGTCATGAATGTGGCCTTTACTTTTCTTCTGCTTCGCTCACGGTCACTGTCAGGCGCTTTCACCGCCTCCATCATCCTTTTTCTCCTCCTCTTCGCGCGAGCTTGGAGTCCCGATCGGGAGATCGCGAGAAAAAATGTCATCTTCCGGCGCTCATCGGCGTGCGGAGTACAAGAGGATCCACGGCAGTGACAGATCTGCAAACGCGAAGCGGTAACAAAGCACACACAGTGATGCCATGAATGGTGCGTTGCTCTGGTGGGTGTGAACGGATTGCTGGATGGCTGGCTGGATGGATGCAGGCGTGGCGAGAGGCTGAGTGACATTCGCAAGGAGGAGCGCGACAAGCAGCTCGTGTTGCGGCGCCAGGCAGTGTCGCTGGAGACCAACCTGCAGACCGTGCCATACACTGCAGAGCAGGTACGCCTACAACGGGATGAATTGCGTGGCGCACATCGGTGTCTGACATGCATCGGAGCTGCTGCCTGGGTGCGGTGCAGGTGCGTTCCGCAGTCGAGGCCGTCACAACCTCACCATCGACTGACCATGTTGGCCCTGACAGCCCTCTCTCGTTGGCGTGTCGGCAGCTCCTCACGGTCCTACAGACATCAGAGGACGCAAGAAGAGGTAGGTGAGCTGAACAAACAGGTGCCTTGCTCGCGATGCCGTATGTCTGTCTGAATGCCTCCGTCTGCATTGCATTCCCTTGCTCACTTTGATCCAGCTGCTGCCCAGTATGGTGCAATCGAGGCTGTGCGGCAAGTCTTGGTGTCCGGCGAGAGGCTCTTCGCGTCGGCACAGACGAGGGACCAGGCTGCGGCTATCCTGATGGACGCCGTGGGGTGCGGAGTGCTGTTGGTGGTCGACTGTGCAGAGAACCACATGGAACAGGTGGGCGGGCCAGGAGGGAGGCAGGGAGGCAGGAAAGTCGCATGTTGTACGCTGTGTGGCACACGCTGTGCTGTGTGTTGGTTGTGTGTGTCAGCTTGTCTCTCTGGTGCCTGCTGTGACAGCAATTGTTGCCGCGCTCGACGATGCACAAACGCAGCTCACGAGAAACGTATGATATCCATCAAATTCGTATATGCTTCGGTCCTCCCATTCTCTCTCTCTCTGTCAGTGTCTGGAGCTGCTTCATTGTGTGGCGATTCACCATTCGCGTGAGGTGCTGCAGCACAAAGGGATGGAGCTGGCCGTGGCGGCCGCCAAGAAGCAAGACCCACATGTGGTCGGTGTTGCGGTGGCTCTCTTGGCCAGCCTGCTGCACGGTGAGTGAGCAGTGAATAAGTGGGAGGAAATGCATGACCACAAACCTTCATGTGATGGCAGTTCGCGATCCAAGCGTGTCGCTGCGGTTCTGGGATGAGCTGAACGGGGGCCAAATCGCGGAAGCAATCATCAGGGTGAGCTGGCCACGTCAGACACCACACACCCGCTCGTATGCCTACGTGCGTGTGTGTTTGTGTCCATTTCGCCAGTCTGGGAGTGCCTCTCAGTCTGTGGGTGGCGATGGCGGCGGTGCGTGTGTGTCGAGCGCTTACGGCCTTCCCTATGGCGATGTGCGTCGAACGGTGCTCGAGGACACTTTGTGGGCCATGCGCTTCTGCGCCGAGTCCTCATTGCAGTAGGGCGGCGCGAAAGGAAGCAGAGAGACACTTTCACCTTCCCTTGTTGCTCTCCCGTCAGTTGCTGTGGCCGCGTCATGATGTCGGAAGCCCTGCCAGTCATCACCACGTAAGGATGAGCAACAAGAGATATCTCGAGTTGCGCGAATGTCTCTCGGTTCTCTGGTCAGGATGCTCGGCCAGTGGCCGAGTGCTCCTGCATTTGTCCGTCCCCCGTCCCCCACCCAGTCTGATGTGGCCCCGGCAGCCGACCCACTGGTGGCCGGCACAGCCGGTGGCACCGATCTCATACTGCCGTTCTTGCGGATCCTGAGTGCGCTGCACACACACACATAGTCAGAAACACCCACCCATTTGTCATGCATGCATCTTGCCTGGTTCGGCTCAGGCACAGCGACGGCCGGTCTTGTGGAGCTGTGGGACGGCATAAGGCCAGCGAGGCCACCAGACGACGGCGTGCAGCAAATGGGGCAGCCGTCGCTGCCTCCTGACCTCAATGTGGACGCCCTTGCGTCGCTTGAGCCGTCGCAGCAACTGGCTGTGCAACGGTGGACCGAACAGATGGTGGATCGGGTGTGCGCCCTCCCGAATGCTCTCGCACTTCTACAGAGCCTCCTCAGCCATCCACACAGGCGAGAAGACGAATAGACATCACATCACATAGCCTTTTCTTTGTGTCTGATGTTCGTGTCGGTGTGTGCGTGTGAGCAGGGGTGTGGTGAGCAACACGATCTTCCTCATCGGCAGCATCGCCTGTGGGTCGGTGCAGCACCTTCGATGGGCGGCCCATTGCCTGCCCGCCATATTGGAGCTGCTCCACCGAGGCGCATCGTTCGACATCAAGAGGGCAAGGCTGTCTGAGACAATATAACACACAGACAGACAGACACACAGACAGATAGACCGAAGGATTGATATGTGTGTGTGTGTATGTGTGTGGTGTATGTGCAGGATGCCGTGTTTGCGCTCCATCGTCTGGTGGTGAGTCATGACGGTCTGCTGCACAAGGACACGATGGAGACTCACCCGGCGCTCATCGACGAGCTGCTGGACGTCTTCAACACATGCCGCTTCGATGCACACACTCTCCAGTACGCAACCAGCGAGGGACGGCAGCTCACTGCGGCAAGAGGCGACTCTTGTGCGTCTTGCCTGCCTGCCTGTCTCTCTGTCTCTGTGTGTGAGTCAGCTGTGCGATGTCTTTCCTGGAGGATCTGCTGCAGCTGTGTCCGCGACTGAAGCGGACGCTCATGCAGAAGAACGTCATTGAGGCAACCAAGCAAAGAAGCAGCCGTCACTGATGCCCACTCACTGTGTCAGGCACCTGTGTGTTGCTCTACAGGTTCTGGAGCAGGTTGAGACGCACGAGGACGAATCACTGCACCGGCACTGCCAGAGAATCACAGACAAGTGAGTGAGCAGTCACCAGCCAATGAGTGAGTGAGTGATGGCATCGGTTGTGTGAGTGGCTTGTCGCGTTGGTTGTGATGCATGTGGTTAGGTACTTCTGGGACGAGGAGGAGGATGACGATGACGCCGAGCAGCATATGGAGGAAGAACACCGCCTTCAACAACAGGTGCGTATGGATGGATGCGATGCATGGATGTGTCCATCGTCGGTATGGTGTTGTATCTATTGTGTATTGTGTCGGTCAAGATGAGAGCGCCCGCTGCGCAGTTCGACTTCAGCTGACGACTGCACGCGTGGTCTTGATGGACCTCTTCATGATGGACGGACACGATTCGACCGATTCATTCAAACGATTGTATTTGTATGTGTTGCAATGCATCTGGGTGACATGAGATGAATGTGGACTTGCATCTCAGGCGTGTGTCTCTCTCCATGTCCGTCTCAGCACACATTTCACTGCTCCACGGCGACATCGGGTCACTGTCGGCTTCTCTAGGTGCATGGAGGGAGCCGCGCCGCGCCGGTGCCCCTCATGTCTACCGAGAGAAGGAGAGAGTGAATCAGATGACGCCGCGTCGACATGAAGAACGAGTCATAACAAACCATTCACATACACACACCGTCAACTCTCATCCAGTCAGTCAGTCAGTCAGTCCCAAATGCGGCAAGGACGTACACAAAACCAGAAAAAAAGCTGCACTGCAAAGCGCCAAGAGAATTAATGCCGTGTATATGCAGTGTATGTACAGGGAAAAACATAATTCTGCTTCCATGTCTGTATGGTCATTCATATCTGCGAGAAAACGGGCGGCCCCAGGGCCGGCAACCCCTCGCTGTTGGTGGGCGCCACCCCTCTCCCACCGCCACCCGAGCGATAGATGCGCTCCCACTCCCTGGCATGGGCATCCCACCTCCCCTCAACGTGCACATGCGGCTGCTGTTGCTGCTGCCACGCACCATGCTGCTCCCTCACATCACTCCACAGTCGCCTTCTCTTGCCCTTGCCCCCGCCAACCACCCACCGCCACCCCAGCAGCGCCAACACGCCATACACCAGGAACAGGATGAGCAGCAGGAGCGTCAATCTCAGCTGCCGCCGCCGTCTTTGCAGCTCGCTGTACCCGCCCCGCATGGCCGTGGGAGTGGCGCATGTGCGTGGGTCGGGTGCTGCTGTATGGTCGGTGGTCGAGTAGGGGAGAGGGGGCGACGATGCCGAGCGGCTGTGTGGCGTACTCTTGACAAACGTCAAAGGCTCCTGTGGATTGCCGCCGACAGCCGAGCCGTTGGTGCGGGGCGCCCGCAATGGCAGTATGGTGGCCGTTGTGTCATTGTCGGCGTCGTCCTGGATGCCTGAGGGAGGCGGTAGGGGGTCCAGCAGCAGCAGCCTACCCGCATGGAAGTTGACGATGCTCCCGACCTTCTGCGCCAGCTGGACGGCCTGCGGGACGTATGTGTGGTACGACTGGGCCGTGAGGTGCATGAGGGCGCCGGGCAGCCATGCGAGTGTGGCACTGAGGTGCCTGAGCCGCCCTCCCAGCGTCGTGGCATTGTCACAGATCTGGTCGAGGAACCATGTGTTGAGGTCCAGCAGCTGATTGAAGTGGCCCAGTGAGTCAGCCATACCCCCGAACCAGCTGCCGTCGTTGCTGTACATGCCGTAGCCGTAACCGTAGGGCATTCCGCCATATGTGCTGTAGCCGCCATACCCCCCGCCGTAACCACCGTAAGCCGCCCCGCTCCGCCACCCATAGCCACTGTACGCACTGGGCCGATTATACGATTGTGGATAGCTGCTGTAGCTGGCCCCGTAGCCCGTGTTCATGAAGGTGCCGGAGGGATACGACGACATGTACGATGGCACGGCCGTCGACGAAGAGAGGGCACCGCCGGGCGCCTGTTGTGCAGCGCCAGCCGGAGCAGCTGCGCTCGGGAGAAGGTTGCTGCCGTCGGTCGCAGCTGGTGGCGCACGAGTGAACGGAACGACGGCATTGGAATTGCTGACACTGAAGCACCAAGAAAAACACACCAGCAAGCTTTCAAGTCTTCCCTTCCACGCCCATCTGGCTTTGTCACCTGGCTGATGCCCCAGCAGCAGCTGGTTCTGGCGCGGGCACAGTACTGGACGCCGCTAGCTCCTCTGTGTTTGTTGGCTGCGGCTGTGACGGCGAGGGCAGAGGTGAAGAGGTGGAGTGAGGGAGAGGTGACGGTGCGAGAGATGCACCTGCCGGTAGTGTGCGACGCTGCCACGGCTTCGGAGGCGCCGCCATATTCTTCCCTTCTTTCTTTACGTATCTGTCGAGGTCTGTCGAGATTTCGAGACGAGGAAACCCCGCAAACCCTAGCCTTCAGTCATTGAAGAAAGACGCAGCAAAACAAACCGCAGCAGCCGCGACAGCGAAAGCCCACAGCACCGCCACCGGCGGCCCTGGCTAGGCTTCACTCGTTTGAGCACTCTAATGGCCCTGCTGCTGCGGATGGGCGGAAGCATGTGACGGTGACCATCATGCCTTGTGGATGGCCTTTGGCCACGTGGAAGGTCTCGGCAGACAACTGAGAAGGAGCTGATGGCGTGTTTAGCCATCCACTAGCACACATTCCCGGTACGCAAGAGGGAGAAGATGGGCGGGCGAGGGCAACGGTGCATTCATTCAGTGCATGGTTCCTCCTTACAGCACGACCCAGCCGTGTCCACTGTGACGATACTCGGCGGCGGTGTGGAGAGCGTCGTCGTGGCGGCCAACAGCACACAGCAACCGGGGGAGTTTGCTATGCTAGCCAGCATGTCCATGAATGCATCAATATGCCTTTTCTTCTGTGCAGGTGCTGCACGCGGCCAAGCTTCAAGCGTCCGTGAGCGCGCACACCTGTAGAGAGACCCATCGAGATCGATATGAGAGCGGAGAATACGTGTTGGTGACCTGCGCGAGGGCCAACACGGACGCACAATCCCAGGGCACAATCACTGCTCAGCAAGTCAGCCGGAGGCGACATGAGGTGACAAAAACAGTTCTGACTCTCTGTCTTGATCGATGTGTGTGTTTAGGTATTCGATCAACAGTGCGTCGGATCAGCTGATTGCGTGGCTGGTGGGGGGCGCGGTGGAAGGCCTGAAGGAGGTACACAGACGGTCAGCTGGCCATCGGCCAGCTTACGGTCAGTCCATTGACATTCTTTGTTGTCTGTGTTCAGTGATCGCATTCCTCGCGGCCTGTGCCCGTCTAGTCTGCTGCTCTTCGAGTCCTCCCTGCCGAACAGGAGGTTCCTCAAGTCGTCTGTCGGCAAGCTCAAGGCATCCCTTCGCGCCCGGCGGGCAGACGGGAGGGAGGATGTAGCGGCGAGGAGGAAGAACCAGAAGGTCGGCCAGCCATACGCCGGCCTTCAGATCTCTCCGCCGCTCGGACACGTGTGTGCTTTGGTGTGTCTTCCTGCAGGCGGCGGTGAAGGCCACCCAGGGGAAGGCCCACGACGAGCACTCGGAGGTAAGTCTGCGGGCATACAGATAGATCTGACACGCATGGGAGGCGGGAGGATGGATGGATGGGAGGGAGCACACACACACGACACACCGCACAAACACATGGTGCCCTTTTCTGTCTGTCTGTGCCACATGTGTGTCTGCCCAGAACGACGACGAACTCATCCTCTGCACGGACTCCGACGGCGAGCCCCTCGACGAGGAAGAAGAGAAGGAATACGTGAAGGGCGGGAGGAAGGGGCTGGACGAGCTGAGGGCCGCCCGCCCGCCGCCGCCGAGAAGGCCCGCAAGGAGGAGGCCGACCGCCGAAGGCGAGAAAAAAGGCCAAGAAGGACGCCAAGAAGCGACGTATGCTGAACGGGTGGAAGGCTCAGCAGTGCCTCGGCTTGGAACTCCCGCCCAAGCACTACGAGGAGGCCCGCAAAGCCGCCATGCAGAACAAGAAGCTCCGCCGCTGAACTAAGACAGACAGACAGCCAGCAGTAGACAGATGCGGGGCCGGGCCAGGGAGGGGGGGAGGGAGTGCGAAATAGGCAGGAGGGGATGAATATGATGTATTGAGGGCATGTGTTTTTCATCATTGTACAGTGCATTACACACACACATGCCATACTACGTGTACATGCCCTTTTCTGCCCACCACACTGCTAGAGCGCTGCTGCAATGCCGACTGACTGACTATACCTCTCGGGTCACGAAATGCAAAGAGCAGAACCTCCGGCTGGGACGTGTGGGTGAGAGAGAGAGTTAGGGGGGGGGGGGG